CATCTGCCATTGTTGACTTCAGAGCTTGCAGTTTGACTTGGCCAAGGAGTTCCAGCTACTTTCAGAGCAAGGCAAGGGTTGGAATACATCCAGGGAAGTTCAAGGAAGCTCAAGCAAGCATCAGGCCTCCATCAAACTCATCCCAGTTTCATCCACGATCCTAACTGAAGGAGGTAAAATCTCAAACTCTATCTCTTTGTATAGGCAACCATATGCCACGATTTATGAATAAAAAATGTAGTCCTCATCATAACAAAGCTGTACATACCATTATCTTGCATTGATTTTACTTGTGCCGAGAGAATTTGGAACTTGAAATTTCTGGAAATATTAGGTCAAGATTTAGGGCTGTTAAAATTCTCTTTGTTCTTTGATTAATAGTTCACATAACTTATATGGTTGGAATCGTGTGCTCAAGTACTACAACTTTCATGTTATGAATTTTCATTTTTGTGGAAGTATGAGAGAGTTACAGGATGTCTGGCCAAGCTTGAGGAAGAAGATGAAACATGGCAAGGACTTGGTTCAGGATATGTTATTTTCGTGTCACTTAAGATAATGGAAGTATATCCACCCCAGTGGCAATGTAGCGCGCTGGTGAGACCCATGTCCTGGGTTCGAACTTGCGCGCTACTTTTGTATTTTTCACTTTTTTTTCCCTTTTCCATTTTCACATTTTTGCAGGTTGGGCTTGGTCTTTTGGGCCAGGAGTTTTTGCTAGTACCTCACCATCAGCTTTACTACATTACCCCCCCCCCCCCCCCCCCCCCCCCCCCCCCCCTTGCCAACTTTTATATTTATATTTTTATTTGCTTCATTTTCATATTTAATATTTTAAATATTTTCTTTAATGCATAAAAATCCCAAAAATGTAAATTAATAATATTGCACTTTTATTGTATTTTTATTTTATTTCTCACATAAAAATATATTTTATTTTAATAGAATATCCTTTATTTTCTTAATAAACTTGTAAATATATTTAAACATATTTAGTTCAATTTATTTTTCATTTCATACTTATAAATACGTATTTTTGCATATATTTAATTTTATATTTATATACAATATTATTTATTATTTTTATACAAGAAAATACACAAAATAATACATATAAAAACTTTATTTTCTCTTAAATAATAATTAGGGTTAAACCCCTTTTAAAAATTATTTTCTTTACCTTATATTGTTAGGTTTAGATTTAAATTTTCTTTTACATAAAACAAGACACAAAAAAAAAAAAAATCCTTTTTTACATGTATATTGCATTGCATTTTAAATATTGTATTATATTCATTCTAACTCGTACAAATTCGATTTGGTTGTATTAATTTATTTATGTTTATATTTTTGCAAATCCCCATTCAAATTTGTATTCCCCCCTCCCATAAATTGTTGTAATAGCTTAGAAATATTTACATTACGCAATTTATCGCTTTATATGCCATGATTAGTAATTAGGGTTTGTATGATAAGAACAAAACAAAGCAAAATAGAAAACTCTAAATACAAGACAAAATCAAAGCATGAAAATGATATACTTGCACACAAGCACCCTTAGGGTTTCTCCACTTGGTTGCCTAAAACAAAAATGACCATGTTACGCATGCGAAGTATCTTGGCAAAACAAAACAAATATAAGATCATAGTCCCTCGATGACGCTATTCAAAAGTTGCCTTACAAAAGTGATCTTGGTCTCTAAAAATGCTAAGATACTTTTCAAACATTGCTAATCATGGTTATACGATGACCCACGCCCGTCCCGTTTATATCCAAAGATAGGATTACTTACCAAATCAATGATAAGACAACAATATCAAAGGAATAGAAAATGAACAAGAAAGACATTTGAGTAGGTAGATTACTTCTAGTTACTTGCTCAATTTCAAATAACTATCCTTGCTATTTTCAAAACAAACACACACATTTCAAAACATCTTACAATCATTGGAAATATTTTCAAAAAGACAAACATCTTTGTATACATTCTTACGAACGAGAATCATTACAAAGACCGCCTAAACGAATGGCCTCTTTTACAAAATACTTTCAAAACCACACCAAGCACAATTTCAAACAAACAAAAGCAATTGATCTAAGCAAGTAACTAAGAGCCCATGGAAAACCATGGATGAAAAGGGTGCTAATACCTTCCCTTTTCATAATTTATCCCCCGAACTCAAGAAAACATCTCAAAGGTCTTTTCTGTGCTTTTTCACCTTTCCTTTTGGATAAAAGAAAAGTCGGTGGCGACTCTTACTAACCGCAACATTTGCGATAAAACGCAAAACCTCAAGTCAGTTCTCCCACCGTATCACACAATTCATCTAAATTTTCAGGATCTATAACTTTGCTGCATATAGTATTGAAGAATAAGCACAATCTGATTATAGTCACCCTTACATTTCTTGGTAAGATGCCACGTATAGCCACTAGTAGAAGTTGTTGCATCAAGACATGACAATTATGGGATTTTAAGCCAATTAATTTGTGATCATTCTCTGACACAAGTTTCTTCACATTTGATGAGTACCATTGGGGAACTTTGATATCCTGCAAACAATTGCAAAAACTTTTTTTTCTTTTTTAGACATAGTGTGACATGTTGGGGGGGAAATAAGTTCTATTTCCTACTTCTTTTGGGGATAATTCTTGTCGTATACCCATTATAACCATATCTTCACGGAATTTCTTAGTATCTTTTGTCTTGCCTTTAATATTGAGAAGCGTTCCAATCAAACTACCACATACATTTTCTCCATGTGCATCATATCATGGCTGGATCAATATGGAACATCGAAGAACACCGACCTCTTTTTCCAAGAATTTTTCACCACAGGCTTTTTTTTGTTTCTTTTCCAAAGAAAACTTTAATGTGTTGTTGTTTTCTATAAACTTCCTTCTCGGTTAAGGGTTTTGGAGTTGGACGAAACTCTTGCTCTCCATTGAAAGCCTTGCGCAATCTATGATACAGATGACTAAGTCTTAGAAATCTTTGATGCCCCAGATAAACTATCTTTTTTCCTTTTGGTAATTTGTGGTGACATGTATTACATTCACATATAGGACATGCATTATGATCCTTAACGCTGTATCCATGTAAATTGCCGTATGCAGGAAAGTCATTGATTGTGAAAAATAACATGGTATACAACTTAAAGTTATCACCTGTATACGCATTTCATACAACGACACCAAAAAATCTCATTGTTATCAGGAAGGTTTTTTTCCGTGAAATCAAGAAATTGTTTCAATCCATTTTCATACTCGTTGTTTAATCTATTGACTTTCATCCAACTACGATCTATAATCATAATTTCTAAAAATAAAATAAAAAATTATACAGAAATAAAGCTTCTCAACAACAACAATAAAACAATGCGCGGAGAACAACAAGAACAATAATAATGGAGAACAACAAGAACATACCGTGGAGCTCCTTAGTGAAAAAGTTCTTTCGTTGGCTAATCTCGAAGTGTTCTTTCGTTGGCTAAGCTCCTTGGAGTAAAAGTGTTCTTTCGTTAGGGCTCGAAAATGAAATAGATGGACACTGAGTTGGAATCAAACATATATAGAAACTTTACCTCGGTTAAATTAAAAAACCGAGGTAGAATAGCTGATGTAAAATATAAAAAGGCGCCTTTTTGTTTGTCAATAAAGTAAAAAAGTTAGGGAGATTTTATATCGGTTTTGAAAATAATCGAGGTGACGTATCCGAACATCTTTAAAAAAATAATGACACATTTTTGGTTCCATATAAAGCCTTAAATAGCTTAAGCTGAAAATCGAAACTCAAACCCTGAACATTTATTTATATCGATTTTATTAAAAGCCGAGGTAATAAGATTTATTATTATTATTTTAAATAAAACAAAACACTCCGTTCACACGTACTTGCAATTTTGTTTCATTCGTTGTGAAAGTTTCGTCATAAAAAACGTTATTTGTTGTAGTGTAAGTATGAAAATAGCTAGTGTTCATGTCTCCATTCAAATGCCAATTAATTCTAGCTTTCTCTTTCTAGAATTCCTCTTCCATATTGAGAACTATCTCCAAATCATGCTGAACTTTGATTTCCTTATCCTGTAAGCTATCAAAGTAACCCAGAATATCAATATCAGTTTGAATACCCTTTAGCTTATTATCAGCTATAACAACCTTACCACGAACATTGTCAAAATAGGTTTCATTCCAATCATTAAGTCTAGCCTTAAGAATCCTAAGTTTTTATCCAGAATAAACATAGGGCAGCCATAAACCTTAACATTCCAAGCATCTTTGACAATCCTAGCACAATCCTCATTTAGAGTCCACATTTTAAGAAACTTAAATTGAGTTTTGAAAATCATTTTGTCAACATTAAGAGATACTAAGATAGAATGGTGATCAGATTTTACGAGTGTTATAAGCAACAAAATTACATGCATAAAACAAAAACATACTACACATCACCTTGTCCAGTCTTTTTTCAGTTCTATGTCTGCATTTTCTACCACTGCACGTAAAACTTACATAAAGAGAAAATGGGATATGCATTGAAAGTGTAAACTTATTTTACACCGTTAATCAATCATCATTATGAATCTCGCAATATAAATTTTAAATCATTTATATGACATGACTGAATAATTTATTTCTATTGATTAACGGTGTAAAACTAATTTACCCTGTCAATAGTACTTATTAATTTCTAACATAAAATATAATACAATTAGTAATTAACATTTGTCTATCAAATTATAAATAGTTTTATGTGTTTCATATTGTCACATATCTTTGTTTCTCTTCCAACTTCCCTCAATAAATTTTATTATTTCCATAAAATTTGCTAATGACATATAAAGAAACAAAACAATAATTTTTAATGAGATTACAAAACAAATCTTCAAATTTATTAAGAATCAATTGGACTATAGAATCTTCTATTTCCATATATTATTCATTCATTTTTTTTTACAATATCTTAAATAGATTAAAATTGAATTGACAATCTCCAAACTCAAATTGAAGGTCGAGTAGTGTTTGGCAATCTCCTCCCACTCAAAAAGGATTGAAATAGATGCAATGCTCTTGAAGGTTGTCCATATGGTACCATGTGTCCAGCCCCTCTTACAGTGGCAAAAGTTAACAATTTTCCGTATTCAGTTACCCAACCTCCAACCTACATATAAATTCATCCAAGTCAATAAAATTATAAAACTATATTCAAATCATTTTTCAATATGTATAAAATGATCAATTATTAATAAATAAATACATTTATTTACCTGTCCTTTGTGAAACCAAACTCTATATGGATCAGTAATCTTGAATTTTAGGTCATGAGCTAGTTCACGAATCAGTGTTCGAGTACCTAGTAATGGCACAACTGAATCTTGGTCTCCACTGTCACAATATATAAATTTCTTATTACAAAAATGTACTTAGAATAAATAATAGTATATGAATCTCATTTGTTAAAATTAATTACCTGTAAATCCATATTGGAATATGGTTTTGAACTATCCGTTTCAAACTTGGAAGCATGTCAATATTAGGATCTGATAGACTATAATTTAAAAAACTACAATGAAGAAAAAATGTGTTACAATTTACAAGATAATAAAATAATAAATTCTAAATTCTAAATTCTAAACCCTAAACATAAAAATATATATTACAATTTATTTGAACTTACTCACTGCACATGGACCATGAATATGGTAAACTGGTACGATTAGCATGAAGAGCCTTTTGAACTTCAGGAAGATTAAGGTAAAAATCATTTTCATAGCTCAAACAAACATCTACACCTAAATTTATTTTAGTAGCCTACAATAATGAAATAATCAAGTTAATTAATTATTTAAAAATATCATGACCAATTCACAATAACATAAATAACAAGAGAAAAAGTACCATCTTTTTCAGTTTAAGTTCTTGTTGAAGAATGGATGGATAACAAACATCAAGAATCACATCATAGATGTTTATATACTCGCCCACAATTTTATTAGCATCAATTATAGCTTTATTGCATGATTTGGATAAATTATGAGGATTTTCATAAGTATAATCATCAAAATCACATTCATGAGTAAGAGCAAGACCAATTTCATCTGAAATCATTCCGTGTGACCAGAAATATTCATATGTTGCTTGTGCATCACGATCCAATTTCAGAAGTGGATTTCCAATCTAACAAAGTCAAGAAAATAATTAGTTTAGTTTAATGGATAAATAAATTAATTAAATATGTCACATAAAGTAATATTTTACCGCGAGTCCTTTTATATTGAATTTGAAACCAGATGAATGATGGGAATTATAATCAAGAATAGCATTAGCTAGCTGGGGTATGTAATGTCCTGAATAATAACATTATAAATGTTATTATGTTAGTAAGAAATAATTTTTTTAAACTAAATTAATTACATCAACTAAATTGAGATATGATTTATAGTTTTGCTAAACCTGCATAGCTTTCTCCGGTTAGAAACAACTTTCTCTGTCGATAAGAAGGGAATTTCTCGTACCATTTCAGCAAGAAGGAAACCATATCATTGGCTGCCAAAAACAAAATTAAAAAACTATGTTTATACTTAATATAATATATAAATTTTTCTTTTGCATAGATAATAACTATATAGTACCTGTAGCATCATCACCAATGGTATAATCAGAAGTTGTATTTGAATATGACCAACCAACTCCAGCAGGAGATTCCACAAACAAAAGATTCGAAACTATAAAAAAGAGTAAACACAAAGACATATATATCATGAATTAATACACACTCAAATTATTCTCTAATATAAAACATATACTCATTCATATAAATACCTTTATTCCAAGACTTTGAATTTATTCGTAGACCACGACCATTACTTTTAGGATAAAACGGTCCTAATTCAGTAAAAGCACCTCCTCCAATGGAGGAACATCCCGGACCTGAATAAAAATGTGTTTAAATATATCTTCTCTATATTAACAATAATTGATTATTATTATTATATTATTATTATTATTATTATTATTATTATTATTATTATTATTATTATTATTATTATTATTATTATTATTATTATTACCTCCATTGAGCCAAAGGGTGAGGGGCTTTTTGTGAGGATGATGATCAGCCTCAACAAAATAATAGAAGAGACTCCTTCCATGCTTTACATCAATATCAACATAACCAGCATATTGTCTAAAGTTAACCTTAGGTTGCCCTGGTAACCTCTCAACCAAATCTTCAATAGGGTACCCTTCTACCCCAATAGTTGTGCCCAAAACAATCAGTATACCAACAATCCAACACTTTCTCATTCTTAATTCTCTTAGAAGTCCACTCTCTATCTATTTTCCTTGACAACTCATTTAAATAATAACACAAGATTAGAATTAATGAGTATTAATTAATATTGCATAAATTTCAAATTCCAAATTGGAAAATGTTTTTCTAAAGATAAAATCTTAAATACATTTGAATTCAGTTGACTACTTGTACTCTATACATAAATTTCATTTAACATTTAGCTGAATGAAAGGAATACAGCCTGTATATAAATAGACAATGTTTAGAAGTACTTGACCATATACTATATATATAGATTCATAATACCATTTTTGATAAAAACACATATTAATTTGAAAAGATATATTTATTTAGCATATTATTATAACATTTTCATAATTTCCACACAACCAATATAATTAATTCATTCTGAAACAATAAAATACTCAAAACAAAAAAACAAACAAGCACGTAAAAATCTACGACAATCTAGAAGATTTGTCTACATTGATTTAACTTTTAAAGTCTTAAAACTCTTTTCATTTTTTATATGCACCCTCGTAAAACTATTATCTGTTTGTTAGGTCACACTATATTGGTAGCATCGCCTAAACTATTGTCTTTTACCTTATTTTAGAAAAATAAAATAACTTTTATATATATATATATATATATATATATATATATATATATATATATATATATATATATATATATATATATATATATATATATATATATATATATATATATATATATATATATATATATATATATATATATATATATATATATATATAACCGTACCTGATTAGAATGGACCGTCACAACTTCACCGAATAGAGTTTGAGTGAGGTGGAGTACCTGCAAGACACTATGATGCCAAAATAAGTTGTGGAATGCGTGAGAGTAAGAAAGTGTTGAATACCTGACCCTCTCGAAAGAGAGGGTATTTATAGCCACCATCGTTGGACCAAAGTCTCCTCATTGGGCTAGTCAAGCAGGCCCAAAGTGGAGACTGTCAGGTCCTACGTGAGTAGTGGGGACCCACACGTGGTCTCTCACCTGGATGACTTCCTCTGAAAGATCAGGAGGATATGGATGCGGTCTTTCCGAAGTCACGAAGACTCCGCGATATTCGGAGACATTCACTACACCAAACAAGACTTTAGACATCGCTTTTTTGGCTTTAGACAGCGCTGCTGTAGGTAAAGACAACACTTTGTTAAAAGTAAAAGCGCTGCTAAAGGTCCCCTTTAGCCAACGTTTTTTCTGAAACAAAAAAAAATTAAAAATAGAAAGCACCTCTAGACAGTGCTTTTAATATTAAAGCGTTGTCTAAAGTCTTCTTTCGATAGCGTTTTTTTAAAGCGCTGCTAAAGGCCTCTTTTAGCCGGCGCTTTTTCTGAAACAAAAAAAAATTAAAACAAGACTCCCTTTAGGCAGCGCTTTTACAGTAAAAGCGCAGTCTAAAGGGGGCTTTAGACAGCGTTTTTTAAAGCGCTGTCTAATGTCCACGAAATTTTTTATATAATTTTTTTGAAAAAAAAGCGCTGTTTGATATATACAATTTTATATGCACAAATTTTAACCATATTTGCACCAGGTTTTCACCATATTTTGCACCTGTATATACCATTACAAATTTCACCAGATTTTCACTAATATTGGAGCTTCAATCTAATAAAAAATAATATCAAAAGATACTATACATTTGCACCAATGTACTTATATATACTATTACTCTTGTACATATATACTTTTACGAAAAAACAACACCATTATATACCATTACAAAATCTATTCATCTCTATCTTCTACATATGCACATATAACCTGAAACAACACCAAAATATCGTAATTCATACCATGATACAAACAAAATATATATAATTTTCCACATGACAAACAACAACAAAATTGCAACACTTGAATATACTCAAAATTCTCATCAATTAAAGTAAGATTACAATATACCTTATATAACTTTCGTCTCAATAATGTATGGACACCAATCCTCCTTAAGTTCATCCAATTGAGAACTTGAGTAATAAGCACACTTGAATTCATCAAAGTACTACATAATAATATAACATAGTATGTTTAAGTTAAAACTATTTAATTATATGAGAAATATGTGTTAAATATTAAAATAACTCCTAAGTTAGAAATCCATACCTTAGATGGAATCTCTATTCGATCCAAAAGAAAGATTTCTCTCATAAACCTCAACATATAAAAACCGCAATCTACTTCATTACGCTGCCGAGGACACTACACATGAAAAGAAAATATGGATAAGGCCTAAGTTTTATCAAGTGTCATCACTATTAATATAATCAAAATTGTGATAATTAATTAATATACCTCCATTATAATCCATGTAATATTGTTGGCTTTACTCCTTGGTACTTGAATACCTCTTTGTGCTCGAAAAACTTGTATAATGCTAATAAAACATAAACGCGTATTTAGAACAATTCAGATAAATAAATAAATAAATATACACACAAATATTTAAAACAATCTCACTTACGTATCAACCATATTCTTTATATCTTGGTATTTACTTGGATCATTGCGTAAAAAATTCAGATAATATACAACTTCTCTGATAGGATTAACCGCGACCAACAACCAATGTCCACTGTAAGATTAAACAAATGTGAGATGAAAACTTTCTACACAACGTCAAAATATGAAAAATCATAATACATGAGTTTAGAATGAAAATCTAACCCGTTGTCGGTATTAAGCGGTAAAAAGAACAACTTTTCGGTATCTTTGTCGGCCATAAAGCACTCGAGTACATACGCCATGACTTCATCTGATTTATGAATGATTAACCCTAAGTTGGTATTGTAAGGAGATAAGAAAGTGAATCTTTGCTCCAATCCACTCGGGTGCATCAATTTTTCATACAAAAACCTTAAATAAAAGACCTCATTAACATTTGAAATGAGTAAATGAATTGATCAATTAATTAGACAAAGTAGATCAGATATACCTTATGTATGTATTAACAACACCGAGGCCTAATTGTGAATGTTGTAAAACTTGATCAAAATCCTCCATACTAATTGTTTCGGAATATTCAAAACCAAAAACACCAAACTCCATAGGTAGAAGACGAGTATTTCCTTCCGGAATATCAGACATTTCTAAAAATGTCCCAAGACACGATCTAAACTTGGAAGTAGGTTTTTTTAGCCGCGGTCTTCTTAGCAACAACCTTTTTTTTGTGTGGAAATGTTTCTAATTTCAAGATTCTTACCCCTACCGACATCTTCATTCTCTTTAGCATGAATCTAAAGATCATATAATTAGTTATGTGAAGTATAAGATCACGAATTAACATTTTTCATGCATAAATATCATATAATTGTGATGTACCTATTTTATTGATTCCACTGACTCGGTTTGCCGCGGAATCCCCTTGTCTTTTGCTTTGGATTTTGTTGGAGTCTAATTAACATAACCATGTAAAAACAAATGTACGTAAAATGCACATAAAAACTTTGAATACTCAAAGGTTCATATATGTGATTTTAAGCATACCTCATCATCTACACTAATGAGACTTGACAGCCATGCAATAAACGAAACTATTGCATCTCCCACCAGTGTGGCATCCGAAACATCGTTAGGATGTGCTAATAACGCATCCTTCTCCAAAGCAATGTCAACCGATACTTTCAAATAGCCAGTAGGGTACATTCATCTCATATAAGTTGGTCCACACAACTGTGTCTCTTTCACAAGATGAACAACTAGATGTACCATTATGTCAAAAAAGAGGGAGGAAAATACATCTCAAGCTCACACAAGATAATAACTATTTCTTTTTGCAGTGTTGGTAAGACCTCAGAATCGATCACCTTACTACAAATTGACCTAAATAAAAACACAATTTAGTTATGGCGCTTCTTACTTTTTCTGGAAAAATAGAACTTATAACTATTGGTACGAAATGCCCCATTATAACATGACAATCATGTGTCTTTAAACTCTTCAACTTGGGGTCTTTATAAGACACAAGTCTTCTAATATCTGAAGAGTATCCTTCTGGAACTTTAACTTCACTTAGAAACTTGCACAATATTTTTTCTCCTTTCTAGATAGAGTAAAAGTAGCAGGTGGTAGATATGTTCGTCTTCTTTTCTTCACGGGTCCTAATTCAATTCTTATTCCCATCTTTAACATGTCCTCCCTTGCTTTAAGGTCATCCTTAGACTTTCCTTTTATATTGAGTAATGTACCAATAACACATTCGAATACATTTTTTTCAATATGCATAACATCGAGAAAATGTCTCACATACAAAGACTTCCAATATGGCAATTAAAAAAAATCGACCTCTTCTTCCACCCACCTTTGACAACTTTATGTGCAAAAGGCTTTCCAAACTGAGTACACACATCTTTCACCTTTTCGAAAATTTGGTCACTTGACAATGTAGGTGGAGCTTTACGTTGTTCGATGTCTCCATTGAATGCTTTTCTCCACCCATTTTAGTGATGTTTAGAATTTAAGAATCTACGATGACCGAGAAGCACATTCTTTTGAAAAAGTTCCAATCGCGTCGTACCGGTTCCATCTTCACAAACAGGACACACACGTTGACCTTTAATGCTATACCTAGATAGATTCCCGTATGCTGGAAAATCATTAATTGTGCCAAAAAACATCGCCCTCAAATTGAAACATTATTTCCTATATCCATCATAAACCTCTACACCGTTCTCCCACAAAATCTTTAAATCTTCGATCAAAGGTGTCAAGTATACGTCTATGTTATTCCCTGGTTGTTTAGGCCCCGAAATTAACATAGATAACATCATGTACTTACGCTTCATACATAGCCATTGAGGTAGGTTATAAATCATAAGAATCACAGACCATGTGGTATGTGAGATACTTTGAAGACCATGTGGGTTCATTTCATCAATAGATAATGCCAAGTGAAGGTTTCTTGATTCTTCTCCAAAATCAGGATAATCATCATCAATTTTCGACCACTGTGGTGAATCTT